GATCCATTCAATGGATCGGCACCGCCACCATCCAGCTGTGCAACAATCTGAAGTCGTGGTACCTAGAGCTTTGCTTCCCCACCTCAGAGAAGGGGAGGCACTAGAAATGGTATTACCTCTCTAACCCATTTGGGTCCCTTCTGGCCTACTCTCCCGACTGTCTAGAGCCGGTGATGCTGCCATCTTGGAAGAGCAAGCCGAAGGGGCCCACTCTTGAGGTCACGGAGGGTTTCTGGACCGGATTACCACCCTAAAGGATGTCGGACTGACCGGCCGGATGATGCTCTAGGTATTCTTGTTCTGCCAGATCCTCCCGTTGATGGCGAGGCCATCCCTGATGTGGGAATACCTTGGGCTAGGGGACCCATCCGCGGTGGCAGATGGCCATCTTCCAGAGGAGTATGTGACCGGAGTGCCATGTATGGTGTTGGGGTCCAAGTCAGGGGAGCCAGTGGTTAACGAAGGCCCAACCCCCTTCTCTGGGTATGAACCGAGGCCCGACGGTCTTTCGTATCTAGGGGCGGTCTCCATTCCGCCAAGCCCCGAGGGGCAGCGGGGCGAGGTCACCACCGGGGGCCCTTCTTTGCCACCGGGGGGCGTGTCCCTCACCCTATCTTTGGGAGAGTCACCCGCCGCCCAGGCGGCTGGGAAGTGCCCTTGCTTGAGTTCCCTCGGGGCGGGGGAGGCTTCGCGGAAGAGGTGCTCTGCCCTAAGGCTTTCTTCAAGCGGTAGGTGAGGGCCCCCACCGGCAAGGCAGCTTTGGTCTGAAAGTCACTTGTCCATTGCTTGATGACGCGGAGGTTGACTTGTAGGGAATCTTCCTCGGTGGGGGCTTCGGGTGGCGCCAGTCCAGCCGCTGGTGCTGAAGCTGCGCTACCACCCACTGCAGATGCCCCGAGTGAACAGGATGTTGACATTGGACACTATCGCCGTGGGGCTGGTCGTCGCGACCCCAACGTGACAGGCGGGATCTAATGCCGTGGGGGATCCCAAGGTGGAGGTGAACTGAGAGGAGGTCATCGTTGCCAGTCTCCCCCCACCCCCGTGGCGCGAGGAGGTTGGCTGCTCATCGGCGGCTGCGCCGGCTCTCCGCTCAGCCGGTAGGGGGCCACACATCCTGGATGATGGCTGTCGACAGAATATCATCGGCAGTCCTCCGAGGGGTATCCCACGAAGGTAGATTGATCGGTAGAGAAGCATGAGATCAAGAACAAGAAGGCAACAGAGACACATGAGTTAGACAGGTTCAGGCCGTCAGTATGACGTAATACCCTACTCTTGTGGTATGTTGGTTTGTATTAGCTATCATATGATATTGCGTGAGTTTGGAGGGGGTCCCTACCCGCCTTATATAGTCCGGGGAGCAGGGTTACAAGTCGGTTAGATCTGAGAGATAACGAGAAGGTAATAACTAAATACAGGAATCTTGGGATCATACATATCCTAGCAGATCTCATAGTATCTTCAGGATATCTTCTAGATGTCTTGCGGGAGGCGCCGAGCAGAGTCGTGCCCCGCAAGGCTTCGTCCAGTGGGCTGGGCCGCCCCTAAGGGCATAGCCTATGTGGTCTGCCATGGGTATCTAGGGTCATACCCCCCACAGCTAGTCCCCGAGCGCCTTGTACCCGTTGTGCAACACCGTCTTGAGGTTGTCCGAGCAGGTGCGAACATAGCCGAGCAGTCAAACTCATGGTCCGACCACCGTGATGAGTTGCCGAGCAGTTGCTGAGTAGCGTGAACTGTCGTCGAGCAGCGTGAATGAAATACGGCTTGCCATAAGGGTGTAAGGAGCTCAAGTTCAGAATCGAAAATTTCTTCGTAGTGGACCAAGTGTGCCCACTTAGAGTCCAACCACGAGAAAAGGAGATAACCTTCTTCAGCTTCAAGAGGCGCGGAGTCTTCTAGAATAAAGCAAGCACATTCACCGCTAGGTGAAGTGTGCCCACTTAGTCCCCGAGCCTGACAGTAGATGATGTAGTCAAGTGGTGCCAGTGTCCAAAGCAGAAGAAAAATAAAAGACCAGCCGAGCAGGCAGCCAGTCCCCGGGCATAGCCCCGAAGAGCACAATCACCGCAAGGTGAAGTGTGCCCACTTAGTCCCCGAGCCTGCTGGAAGATGAAGAATGAATCTTGTAGTAGGGTCAAAGAAAAAGAAGTCTAAAAGCTTTGTAGACGTCATCCGACATGCGCATATCAAGACCCCAGATGTACTGCCCAAGATCAACACCCTGATCCGAATAGCATGGAGCAGCTTGATAGCACACCGATGAGACGTAGCAAGATCCGACCACCAAGGGCGATGTCCGAGCACCGAGGAGTCCCCGACATAGGCGATGTCCAAGCACCGAGGAGTCCCCAGCATAGGCAGCGATGTCCAAGCACTGAGGAGTTCCCGGCGCAGCTGGCGATGTCCGAGCAACGAGGAGTTCCCGGCGTAGCTGGCAATGTCCGAGCGCCGAGGAGTTCCCGGCGCAGGCGATGTCCGAGCACCGAGGAGTCCACGGCATAGCTGGCGATGTCCGGGCACCAAGGAGTCCTCAGCGCAAGCGGCGATGTCCGAGCACCGAGGAGTTCTCGGCGTAGGAGATGTCCGAGCACCAAGGAGTCCCCGGTGTAGGCGGTGATGTCCGAGCGGCGAGGAGTTCCCGGCGTAGTTGGCGATGTCTGAGCGATGAGGAGTTCCCGGCGCAGGCGATGTCCAAGCACCGAGGAGTCCCCGACGTAACTGGCGATGTACGAGCACCGAGGAGTCCCCAGCATAGGCGGCGATGTCCGAGCACCGAGGAGTCCCCTGCGCAGGCGGTGATGTCCGAGCGGCGAGGTGTTCCCGGCGTAGGCGACGATGTCTGAGCACCGAGGAGTTCCCGGCGTAGCTGGCGATGTCCAAGCACCGAGGAGTTCCCGGCGCAGCTGGCGACGTCTGAGCAGCGAGGAGTTCCTGGCGTAGCTGGCGATGTCCGAGCACCAAGGAGTCCCCGACACAGCTGGCGACGTCCGAGCAGCGAGGAGTTCCCGGTGCAGCTAGCGATGTTCGAGCACCGAGGAGTCCCCGATGTAGGCTGTGATGTCCGAGCACCGAGGAGTTCCTGGCACAACAGGTGATGTCCGAGCACCGAGGAGTCCCCGGTGTAGGTGGCGATGTCCGAGCATCGAGGAGTTCCCGGTGAAGCTGGCGACGTCCGAGCACCGAGGAGTCCCCGGTGTAGCTGGCTATGTCCGAGCACCGAGGAGTCCCCGGCGTAGCTGGTGATGTCCGAGCGCCGAGGAGTCCTCGGCATAGCTGGCGACGTCCGTGCGGTGAAGTGTGCCAATTGTCGACAAAAGATGCTCAGCAGTCCACCGAGGGGGTATCCCACGATGGTAGATTTGTCGTAGAGGTGAGCAAGATCAGGAGCGAGATGGTAATACAAGCACCAAGACACAAGATTTAGACAGGCTCGACCGTCAGTATGACGTAATACCTACATCCTGTGTTCTGATGTATTGTATTGAGATGTCGAGTAGGGGACCCCTGCCTCTCCTTATATACTCTAGAGGGGCAGGGTTACAAGGAAAGTATCCTATTTGGTACTATACAATAGCTTGCAGTCCACGCCTTGCTCTTGTGGGTTGGGCCACCTCTGATGGTGCGGCCCATGTCTTGTCTTGTGTATACTGGGGGCCATACCCCCACAAGCACCGCCTTGCTCTTGTATAAATAGAGGGGTATGCCTCCCTCTCTCAACACACTTCACTTGAGCATCACCTCACACACCTCACTCTCTAGTAGTAGTAGCTTACTTTTTAGTAGCTTTAGAGCATGGCAGAGCTACCTTGGAGAGCTTGGCTCCTTGGAAGAAGAAACCTTTGGGTATGAATAGAGATATGAGTTCTTACAAAGTTATGCTCTCATATGATATTTATAGTCATACTTATGAACTAGAGTATAGTTATCGTGTTATAATCTTGATATATGAACTAGTCTATAGTTTGTATGTCATGAAGGTAGCACACATGACTTTATGCTTAAACACTCATATAACTTATATAGTTAGAATTAGAGCAAAGTTGAGGTGGTGGTTCATCGTGCCGTTAGGTGTGCCCAAGTTTTTTACCTGTTGATCCGTAGGGTTGAGGACCTAGGGGGATTTGGGTAGTTTCTATATACGCAAGCGTGGTGCTTGGGTATGGAGACAGGTGAATGCATTGTCCCTTTCCACGGTTGAGGGGTAGGCAGGAGGTGGTGACAGCCCTATCCATCCCTTGTAATCCCCCACGTTCAACTGGGGTGCAGGAGTTTAAATTGTCACATGAGGTTGCTGGCAGACCAGTACTCAGTGGCCTCCCGACCTGCTTCACACTTAGCCCTAAGACTAATTATGTAACTTGTATGATCATTAACTAATCTTTGTATGACAATACTAGACCAATGCCTGCTCGACTAGGATTATTCTTTTATTCTTTCTTCTCTATTTTATCCTTTGAGGAATGTCAAGTGTGTGTCCACTATCTTGAAATCACCGTTCTTACCCCTGTTATAAACATTGGTGTACTTGCAAGCATTATTATTCACATTCATATCCATACTAGACTCTTAATCAAATGCCTTCCTTTAGAAAAATATAAATAACGATACCCTGAATACTTCCGAGTGAAATGCTACAATGATAGCTCCGTGCGCTTGCGGATAAATATCTAAAATTGTTAAGGAACTATCAAGGCTATTACTTAGTGGCATTGCTAATCATTAGTGATGATGCTAAGAAATACCAACAAGCATTTCTGGCGTCGTTGCCGGGGATGGATTCTATCTCCATACTTGGTGATTGCGTTTAGAAATGCCAATAGGCGTGCAATGCACTGCTGCCGCCGCCACCCCTAGAAGGAGAGCATGGCCTCACTAAATGGGTGTGCTCTTTTGAGGCGCATGTCCCACGGGTCGTCAGGGGCGCTATCTACCAAGGGGCAAGTGCAGCCCTGACCTTGACGAAGCTTTGGCTCCTCGAGGTCGACTTGGGTCCCATGGCCACAAGCGTCCCCAAGGAGACTTCTGACAAGCAGATGGAGGAGGCCGAGGATGCGGTGGCACCCTTGGTTGCTGCTGCGGCTGGGATCATCGATAACAGGCTACTGCTGACCAACGAATATCTAGAAGAGGACGACTTCCCCACCGGTCCCCCGATGTCCCTATGACCTACAAAAAAACCTAGTTGTAAAACTTGTCATTGTAATCATGGGGGTCTGTTCCCCTTTGAACAATTGTGACATTGGGGTGTGCCTACCCGCCAAATCTTTGTGCTTTCATTGCCACTTGTACTCCGCGCTCTGTCCATCTCGGTGGGGAGCGTCCTTGGCGCCTGCTCCCCTCTTTCGAGCCCAATGATCATCAGCTGTTAGCTCCATTAGCCTGTGTCATGCCCGTGCGGCATTAGGGTGTTAGCTTTTCCTGTCCGATGGTCATGGAAGGGGGAACAGGGCGGCTCTACACCCCAACCGCGAGATCGAGGCGAGGAGGTTCGCGGCCTAAAAGCGGGTCGATTCGAGTAGGGTGGGAGCATCCCCCAACGATGATCTAAGAAGAAAGGCATGCATAGAGAGGAGCTCAGTAGCTAGGTGACTCAGCTGTTTAGTGTGTCGATCCCCTCGCCAGGCGGGCCTTCGTGTGTGCCGGGCCTCTGTGTCGGGGAATGCCTCGGTCGTGATGGGGGACTCATTGTGGAAGCGGACACCACCATCTAGGGCTGTGCCACCTGCTCTAGTGATGAGGCGGGTGCCTCCAGCCATCGTAGAGCCAGAATCGCACTTGACGCTACCCCCTACCTAGCGCGCCAGCTGTCGTGGGGTCAAAACCATGGCAAACATGTTGTTCAAGTCGGTGTCAGATTACGGGTCTTCGGTGGCTCAGGTGGAGTCAAGAACACAAGAATCATGTAGGGAAGACGCAACAGTTTATCCTAATTCGGGCCAATTTGGTCCCTACGTCCAGCAGCTGATGATCCTTATACTCAAGAGCACCCAAAATCGGGGGGGGGGAGGGTACAACAGAGTGTAAAGGAAGAAGATTTGGTACGGGGTTAGCTCAGTGCTAATCCTAAGGTTGCCTCGCCGTTGGTGGAGCCTTCCCCCTCATCAGAGAGGAGGAAGATGACGGGATGCGGTGGAGGAGAGGCTCTCAGTGCCCCTCTTCGGGTTGCCTTGCTCTCTGTGTCGAGCAGAGGCCGATGGAATGGAGTGTCTAGTGATCGAATATGTGGGATCCTCCCCCTCTAGGTGAGACCTTATCCCTTATATTACGAGATAGGTCGGATACATGGCAGTTTGGGGGTTTAGTCTATGGTCTACAAGCGCCGGAGTAGAGGAGGGTCTTCCAGTGGTGCGCTGTGGACCGTCATGGTGTCTTGGAGCCGAAGAAGCCTTGGGCGTTGTCTGACCACTCTATTCTGACACTATGTGTGTCAGGCGGTGTCAGCTTGGACCAGTCTCCCTCGGGTGAGATCTTCTAGAGTCTTCTTAGTGGCAGAGGAGGTCAGCTCCAGGGGCTGACGCATGGGCTCGGAAGCCCATGAGCCCGAGAGGCTGTGGGAAGCTTTGTCTTCTTGTATCATGCCCCAGACATGACCCTGTCAGAGGAGCAATTGGTAGCGCCGCGCCTGGGGAGCGACACCAAGGAGCCCCTAGCATCGGTAGCCTGGGGCCAGTCTTCTTGTGCCCGGGCCTTGGCTGGCGTCATGAGTTGGGTAGGAGCCAAGGACCGAGCTTGGTTGTACCATAGATCAGGAGCCCAGGGCTTGGGGAAGCTCCCGAGCCCTAGGCAAAAGCTACGGTCGAGTCAGGCTCAGCCGGATCTCTTTGCCAAAGGGTGCACGCGAGCATGCCCGATGGGCATAGCCCCCAAGCCCCCAGGCGATCCTAAAGGGGTCAGTCAGGGGGTCTTCTTCGTTCGAGAACCATTGGACCCAAGGCTTAACATACCTGTATGTTAGTATCTCATCACTAATCTTTTTACCATTTCCAACCTTCCATCTATAATCCATTTTTGTAGCTTATGTAGCCCACATAAAACCCTTAAAGAAGCTAGAAGAGTTTGTAGATCTAGTTAACAAGATACTGGGCTCCTTAGTTATTTGAAATCTAAAAGCCCTTAGACCCGAGTTTGTCCTTATCAACATTGTACCTTTTACAACTAGGAAGCTAAGAGACTTATATTCAAATCCCTAAGACTAGGAATACCTAGGCCTCCATACTCTTTACACATAGTAACCATGTCCAAATTTGCTAGATGATATTTATGATTGTTCTCAGAGTCATTCCACAAGAAGTTTGACATATGGGTATTGTCACGAGGTCGAAACCATGGCAAGCATTGTTGTTCGTCGGGTGTCACGGAGTGTGTGTCTCTGGTGGCTCGGGTGGACTCAAGAACACAAAGAACATAGAGAGGACACAACAGTTTATCCTGGTTCAGGCTATTGGGCCCTACGTCCAGCAGCAGATGATCCTTGCATTCAAGAGCACCCAAAATCAGGGGGTTACAATATAGGGAGAATTGGTTCTGTAGCATCAAAAGATCATGAGAATCGGAAAATACCACTGAAAAAGCTCCGTCACGTGAAATACCATTGAAAGATGTAAGCGTTAACCGAAATTAGCATTCCGTCGTGTCAGTTACTTTTGAGGCTAACGGCCGTCATCGCCACCCGCACGAGCATGCGCTGTGACTCCTTCTTCCTCCTTCATCCATCTGCTATCCCCACGGCCCACGCTCATCAGCTACGAGCAGCGTTGCCTCGCCATGCCACCGTCTGCACGTCCGCAAGCAACGTCGCCTCACCGCGCCGCGCTGTCGTCTGCATGTCCGCAAGCAACGTCGCTTCACCACGCCAGCTGGGGGTTGCTAGAGTTGAGGACACGAAAACGGACTTGCACTTGACACTAGAGTTCATGGGCGACGCCCGCAGCAGGAGGTTGCTCAAGTTGGTGCCGTCCACGAGCGCGAGCTGCCTGGCGCTCACGTTTGGAACTGTTGTCTAGCCGCTAGCCTGTTTTAGTGTCGATTGAAGTTGCCGCCGCCCAAGCTCACCAGCCGGAGGCCATGGCGGAAGGCAACACGCCAAAGCCGCAGCAACCCCATCTCCATCGGCCACGCCGTTGTGCTCCAGGATCACGTTGGCTGGTGCGGCGCAAGGAAGGCAGGCGCTTTGCGCGGCCATAGAGTTGCTGTCACGCGTGCCAGTATGAGTGCACGACCCCTATGGCGCTGTAGCTGTGCTACCAGCCTGCCGCGCCACGCGCAACTTCGACCCCTATGTGTACTGGCTGCTCCTTCTCCTTGCGCTTTGTTCTTGACCCTGCCTCCTCCATCAGCGCACCAATGCATAGCCACCGCGTCGCTGCCATCATGAGCCCATCCGACGTCTTCGCGTTCGGCTTCCGTACGACCGACTCTTACTCTGGCCCAACGCAGTTCATCCTTGCCACGTGGTTCCTCGACTCCGGCGACCTCCAGCTCCTCGCGGACGACATGTGGATGGCAGTGCGGCACGGTGCTCGTGGGCGTGCGAACGGTGGCGCGGTGAGGTGACACTGCTCACAGCTGGCGAGTATGGGGCAGCAAATGGACGGAGGAGGAAGAAGGGTGCATCACAGCGCATGCTCGTGCGGGTGGAGATGACGGCCGTTACCCCAAAATTGACTGAACGTGACGGAATGCTAATTTTGGTTAACGCTTACATCTTTCGATGGTATTTCACGTGATGGAGCTTTTTCAGTGGTATTTTCCGATTCTCATGATCTTTTGATGCTACAGAACCAATTCTCCCTACAATATAATGTAAGAGAGATTTGGCAGGGGATCATCGGTCCTGATCCTAAGCTCATTGGTAGTGAGGTCTCTTCCTCGTTGGAGAGGAGGAAGACGATGGAAGAGGGGAGGAGCTCTTGGTACTTGCAACACCCCTGGTGTTACGAGCTTGCTTAGCATCGAGATTTAGGTCTGATAGAAATTAGCCAAACAAGTTTTTGGGTTTTAAAAATTTATAATGCGTGTGAAATGATAAGCGAATCCTATGTGACTCACTTTTGTGGTGGAGAAAAATCAAAATAAATAGTGTTAACTAGTGCTCTTGGGAGCTCAAAAATCAAATTTGACGTTAAGATAAGCTCTTTTCGTTAAGTCGGCAAACACTTGAATTATTGTTAAAATACCATTTTTGGTGATTTATATTGAGCAAAATAGTTAAATGGTGCTTAAATATTTTGCTCCTCTGGGTTAGTATAAGGTATGGACTATTGCATGAAGTATTTGTTGGTTGAAGTTAACAAGGTTTAGACCTATTAAAAATTGTGACAAAAGAGTTAATGGTTACTTAGCCCAACTGAAATCCTTAACTTTTCTAAGTATGGAAAAGTAGTAAGACAATGATATTTTGACATTTAATTTCTAACAAAAATGTTGAAACACTAGCTGCATGTTTTGGTATTGTTGATTGCATCAAAGTGAGTGCTTGAGCATGGCATAAGTCGAAGTTGTGTTGGATGTCACGCTGCTCTCGTAAAAATTGCTCAAACTTCGTTGGAACGCATTGTAAACCATGTTGTTGGCGCTCTGTTCATGAATCGACATTCCAGCGATGAACCCAAGTTGGTATCCTTTTATCGCCCTCTCCGGTTGCTCTCGGGTTATGACAATTGATCCGCTAGCTAGCTGGTAGTGTCAACTTTAGGTTAGTACGATTGGTTGAACTTTGGTTGAGATGATCGGCATCCTTTGCTTCACTTTAAAACGCGTGCACGTCACCATTTGTGGTTGTTCGGCCTGGGTTCATAGTTACCACGCGAGTATGCTGCTGCTGCCCAGCCGTTCCTGGACGTGGACCTTGCCCCGTTGGACGGCCTTGTCGGCTGTCGGCTGTCGGCCACACATTGGGCTGTGCCGGCCATAGTTGCCTTCCGTAGGGCCGGGCTAAGCTGCAGTGATGCTGCGTGGCTGCCGCGTGCGCGCTACCGACCAGGCCGTGCGTGGGGCTAAGCCGATGCTGCGGTAGTCGCCATCTGGCCGTTGTGGCGCTCGTCTCGCCGCTCAATTCACCTACCCGCCCAGTCGTCGTCTGCATCCGCTTTTTCATCGCGTTGCTGCCCTTTGTCGCGGTGTCAATGCCTTTCTCGTGTGACCGCTGTTCCACTGTCTCTGTCGT